CCTCTCTCCTGTAGCCCAAAGCACGGAGAAGTTGCTCCGTAGGAAATGTAAATGCTTGCCCAGGTGCAGAGGATGAGCACGAGATGGAGGGAGCCTCGAGAGGCCGCGCGAGCATCTCCGTCAGGAGATAAAACTCACGGCGTAGGCGGAACACGGAGCCTCCCTCCCGCCCCGCTGAACGGAATATTTCATAGCTCTTAGAAGCCGAAGCTCTCTTGTAATTATCCAAAGCAAACAGCACGTGTTATTAGTTTAAAATGATTTTTTTTTCCCCCTCCCCGGGCCCCTGGAGCAGAATGGAGGTGTAATTGTGCTAAGGAGTTAGCAGGGGAGAGCACAGCTTTTGGTCACATTCAAGTTGGAGGGCTTGAGCCAGGGAGGCTGGTATGAAAGGCTGGTATTTGCATAAGCAGCGTGCATCCCTACAAAAAAGAAAGATATCAGGGGCTTGCAAAATTCAATCAAGGCTGGGAGGGAAGAAAAAAAAAAAGGGGGGGTGGAAGGGAGGGGGGAAAAAAATTGACAGTGAAAAAGGTTTTTCTAAGTAACACCCTGTCGAGATTAAATTGTCCAGAAAGTTTCTCCGTGTGAGCCGGTGAAGCGGAGGCTGGGCTGAGGGCAGGGGAGGAGCGGGGTCCCTCCTTCCTGGCCTCAATAGGGGACAGGAATCTGATTAGGCAGAGCGTTCTGCATCCATTTACCATTATTTGAGGGGTTTTTTTTTTCTCTCTTCCCACCGCCCAGAATTGCTGTGGCAGGGCAGTTTATCAGCATATAAACCTCAGTGCTGGCTTTGTAAGGGCACAAGGAGGCACAGGAGCAAGTGTTGGGGCAGAGGCTGAGCTATAATTTCAATTGTTTATTCAGCTTTAAAAAAAAAAAAAAGAGGACAGTAAATCCACACACAGAGGGATGTTTTCCCTCTGCAGGGCATTGGGGAGGGAAGGCAGTGTTGGGGCTGGAACTGGGTCCTGGTGAAGCCCTATTTTTGCAGGCAGCCTCAGTGCAAGGCTGAACTCTGCCCAGTGAGAAAGTGCATGCAGGAGATTTGAGTTTTCCTGAAGCTTATGTCAAGTCAGTTGGGTTGGTCCAGCCCCTCCTGCCCTCAGCAACTGAGTGCCAGAAGTTTCAAGCCCACCAGGCAGGCAGCAGGTGATTTCCAGGCTGGTTTGATGTCTGGTACCAATGAGCATCCCCTCTGTCCACACTACAGAGGAGTTTCTCTGTAGGCCAAAGCAAGCTCAGCCTGTCCCTGCAGAGGGCAGGGACTGTCCCTGCCAGGTAAAGGCTTTCCCCTGGTGAGAACAAGGGTTCAGCTGCCTCCTCCTGTCCCGGGCTTTTGAAAGCACCCACCATCATTCAGATCTCATCTGTCCTGACCTCAACATCCTTTCCAGGCTTGGGGGAATATTCTGGATGACTCCTAATCTCACATAGGATAAAGTGCTGAGCCTTGGCTTTTTTCAGCCTGGGTCTCCCTGAATACATGCAGCATAGGGTCTATCCTCTCAGCACCAAAGCCAACCACATGGGGTGGGTTTGGCTCTGCCTCTCTTAAGTTTTAGGCTTGCTTCAAAGTTGCAGAAGGGAAGGGATTTTCCTTGGATTTCCATCAAGTGCTTTATGAATATTGCAATAAAGGGGTTACAGAAGATCTATTTTTAAGAGAGAGAAAAAATACCCATGAAAATTGCAGCCTGGACCCCAGAGTGCAGAGTATTTGCACAGTTCAAAGAGTTACGGTGGTTCATCCAGTCACAGCCTGGGAACGTCGCGGTGCGACCTACAGCAGATCACATGCTGGCTACTCCCAGGGCGGCTCATTAGAGAGCCACACAGAAGATTTATCTCTTAAAATGGGCCTGCAAATATTTTATAAAATTTGCAATATTTTATAAAATTACAATTTGGTGCAATAAAAAGAATAAATTAGCCAGCTGATGGTTCCTTTTGCAAGTGTACTCAAGGATTTGTTATATTAGTCTTTACTCCTTCCAGTGTAACAGTTTATGGGCAAAGCAAAGGGAAGATAGAAAAAGGACAGGGCTGGTTTGGGGGCTAGGGAATACACACTCAACATGGATAAAGTGTAAAGGAAATAGATGAAAAAAAATCAGGAAAAAGGGAGGAGAACGTGCTGCAAGGTGTGAGATGTGTGGGGCAAAGCACGGGAAGGGGACTTTGGCTGAGCGTCACGGCTTCGGCTCCAGCTCGGTGGCTTGGTATCACTTTCTCCAGTCAGGCAAGGGCGCCGAGGGCAGGGAAAGTTAACACGAAGATTAAAACATCAGAGGGCTGTGCCTTTAGTGGCTCTGACATGCAGAGTAATCCCATGCCCCAAAGCCTAGGGAGGAAGGACAAGCCGTGAGCCCTCCCCTGGCTGGCGGTGTGCGGGGCAGGCAGAGGTAGGGGATTGAGGAGAGTGCAGGGGAAGCTTGGCATCCTGGGGACTACAGTTTTCCCGGTGAGGAAGAGGGTAAGGTGGTCCAGAGACATGAGAAAGGTGTGGTGGGGAGGGAGAGAGGACTGGAGTTCTGCTCCACCAGGGACAAGTTGGTCTGTTCTCAGCCAAGCACTACTGGATCATTTCTCTGACAGAGATCATAACCACTCCATTGTTTTTCTTTCCTTCCTAGATCCCAGTGAGTGGACAAGGGACTTTTGAAGCCTGTGAGTTCCTTCTTCCAGCTGGCTACCACCTGCCTGGACTTCCCATCTAACTTCTCCGAGTTTCTCCAGGAGGTCCCAACCTGCTTCTCCACTGGCCCCAGGGAGGAGACAGCTTTGTCTCGTGAACACTGGATTTCTGCATCACTTCAAAACACAGCGGTGCAGCCATGGGGAGGGAGCCAGGGCAACACAGGGAGCCAAGGGATCATCCCACATCACTCCTGTATGTTGCCTTCAGTGCCCTCAATACCCCAGGGCAGGACCAGAGTGCTTAAGCAGAGAGACCTGAGCCAGTCACTGTCTCACCTGGTGAAATACCAGGTGTGTGAAGTTTGGAGGGAGCTTTCAGCCCCTGGCTTTGCTCATGGAGCAGAGCTCGGCCCTTGCTGCTCTTGATCTGTGGAGCTGTGGGAGCACAGCCTTCCCAAAGGCACTGTGCTTGGGGCCCAGAAGACCACGAGCTTTTCCAGGCCAGGCAGCCCTGCTGCTGTTGTACTGCACCCTCTCTGTTCCTGTAAGAGAAATGTACTGCCTGTAATTCTCTCCCATTCAAATCCTCCCAACCCCATGCACTGTTGAAAATAAACTCTCTCTTTTGCAAAAGCGAGCGTGTGATTTTGGTGCAGTCTCGAGACAGAGGAGGCAATGGGCACAAAATAAACCCGGGCAAACGAGGAGGGAAGCGGGAGCAGCCGAGAGCCAGGCATTGGGCTGCGCCGTGCCCCGCATCAGGCACATTTCCCTGAAAGCCCGAGCGAATCCCTCGCCGCTCAATGATCTTTATTTGGTCTGAACCCCGTCTGGGAAGTAACCGCTAAACCCAATGCAAACAGACCCCCGTGAAAGAATATAATGAATATGTCTCTCAAATGATTTGGAGCCCTTCTGCCTGCAGAGCAGGGTTCCCCATTGTGCCCCGCTCCCGGCGTGCTCGGGGCAGGCTGCGCGAGGTGGCCGCTTTCCCAGCTGAAATCCGAAAAAAGCAAACAATGGGTCAAGGCCGGCATTGTGCGAGCCCAGGCAGGCAGAAGGAGCGCAGCCCGGCATGGCCAAGTTCAAGGCTGGGCAGGGGGCCGGGCGCGGGGATGCTAATGGGGGGTCTGCGTGCTCCTACCCTGTGCAGCCTGAGCACCCAAAAACCACCTCACAGAGAGGCAGTGATTGCCAAGCGCAGAAAGGGGTGCTGGGTGGGGACACTGGCAGTACCGGGAGGAATTTGGGTTGCTGGGGGGCTGATGGTGCTCGGGGGGCTGGTATTGCTGTGGGGGATTAGCGTGAGTTGGAGGAGAACTGATGCTGCTGGGGGCGAACTGGTGCTGTGGAGGTGTTACTGGGAGAACTGGTGTTGCTAATGGATATTACTGGGGGATCTGGTGCTGTAGGGGGGCTGCAAGTGGAGATGACGGCACAGTGCAGGGCCCTGCTGATGCAGTGGGCATCCTGGGGGCGATCTGGGCTTGAGAGCCTCGCAGAGGACGCAGCCTCTTTGGGTCTGCCTGCGGCTCCAGGCCCGAGCAGAGACCCCCCCACACCCCCGCATCTCCCCGCCGCTCCCCCCTCCCCGGATGAAGTGTGCGGAGACAGGCGGAGCGGCCCGTGGAAAAACACCATGGAGGGCCTGCACAAAGGGGGTTTTATTCAAATTTGTTTAGAGTTTAGCGGATTTGCATGAAAAATGTGTGAGAAAAGCCGGCTCCAATGACCTCATCCCCAGCTGCCATTAATGTTCAATTAAGTGCTGAATAGTAGCAAAGGGGGGACCGGCCGGGACGTGCAGAGAATCCAGGCTCGGGCGCAGACTGTGAGAACCGGGCGGCCCCCCCGACCGTCTGGCCCCGGCCAGCCCCGACGGGGTCCCCCCGCCGCCGCCCCGCTCTGCACCGGGAGGTGCGCTGAGCCCGTCGGGTCTCAGCCCGTCTGGGTTATTCCCCGGATCAGCCGCATTCTGAAGCAGAGTGCCCCCCCGCCGCGCCCAAGGTGGGTGTTTGGAGGGGGCGATGCCCCTCTCCGCGTTGCCGGGGCTGCTGTCACTCCCCCCGCAGCCCGCCTCGCCCGGCCCGAAGCCGCTCTCCGCCTGGCAGACGGTGTCAAAGCCCAAGTTCAAGTCCACGCCGAGGGGCTCTGCCCTGGGATTCCCAGCTCCTTTCCATCCTCCGCCTTTTGTTCGCTTCTGACAATTGCTCTTTATTTCTTACACACCCCCAGCCTCCCCCCCGCACCCCCCTCCCTGCCCGCACTTGGCACCGTTTAGCTGTCTGCCTGCAAACTTAACAACCCCGGTTCTTGGTATAAGCACTCAAATTACCCTTCTTTCTACATATAAACACGGCCCGGGGTGTGCGGCTCTCCCCGGCCGCGGGGTCCCCCCGGCCCAGCCCGGCTCCCCCGCACCGACCCCGGCCCCGGCCGGAGGAAGTTTCTGCTGCGGGACACGGCAGGAGAACACGAGCCGAACACAGAACCCCCGCTCTGCGTGGCTCCCCCGGGCTAGCGCTCAGGTAAGGGAACACACCCCCCACTCGCTTTTGGGGGGCTGCCTCTGCTTCGGGGCGTGATGACACAGCAGGTTTTGGGGAGTGATGGGAGGGTGTCTCTCCGTAGGGGTTCTCACATACTCCTGGCAAAAGCAGCCCTGCCTCGGGCACGCTGATGAGGAGCCCCGAGCCGACCTCCCCCGGGCGTGCGGACCCACCCCCGGCCGGGGTGCGGCGGGGACACTGCCTGGCGGGGGCAGTCGGAAAGCCAGGGGAGGTGGCCTTCCCAAACCTGCCTCTGCCCCGGCCTGCCTCTCTCCGCCCCCCTCGAGAGGGGAACACCCACCCGGGGAGCGGACCCGGGGCTGGGGGGCCTTTGAGGGCCGGCACCCCCCGGGCTCCCCAAGCACCGACACCCCCGGAGCCGCTGCCCTCCGGGGCAAAGTCCCCGCCGAGGGTCAGCGGCACCATCCCAGCTGGGTCACGCCTCTCTCCGCGCAGGTGTGATGACAGGGGCAGGGAAGGCCATAGCGTGACCCAGGGAGGTGCTGACCGACCCCACAAATAAACCCCTTCTCCTTCCCCTACCTGCGGCTGGGTGGTGCTGGGACAAACTGGTCGGGACAGGGCGAGTCTGGGGCCCTCGGGCAGATTTAGCTTTTCGGCTGATGTAATTATTTTCTAAGACAATTTCGCGTGAATGAGGGGAGGATAAACACACATGCCCCTCCACCTCCCGAGGCTAAAATACAGATAGCGGATGCAAGGAGCGAGCACACCTTCAGCGGGGAAGTGAGCAAGGTTTGGGAGAGCCAGAAAAGAAAGGAGGGGATAAGAGGCTGAGAAGGGCCAGGCAGGAGGAGGGATAACGGGTGGGGAGACAGGAGGGGATCCCCGAATCCCGTCCTCGAGCCCGGAGTAGCGACGCGGGCGCTCGGGGCGGGGCGGCCCCGCGGCCCGGGGACACCGGCGGGGCCGTGCCGTGCCCACGGCCGGGGCTGTCACGTCGCATCGCGTCACGCAGCACCGTGTGGTATAACACGGCGCCATAAGTGATAGCGGAACATAAGGACATAGGTGTTCTTTATATACGGACGGGATGGAGCGCCTATAACGCTGCATTGCGCTGCAGTCGGGAGCTGCCCCGGTGCCAGCGCCCCGCGGGCTGCGGAGGTCGCGCTGTCCCCGCATCCCCTGCGCTGGGGTGGCAGCATCCTCGCTCGGAGAGCGGGCACAGAGCACCCCCGCTCCGCAAAACAGAGCCCTTCTCTCTCACGTGCGTGTTTGAAAATAGCGGCTTGGGCGCACCCCGGCGCCCTGGGAGAGGCCGCGCTTTTTTTTTTTTTTTTTTTTTTGGTGGCTATTTCAAAAACCCACACTCGCACCAGTGCCTCCAATGTCCGTCCTTTCCGTGGGCCCGCACGCGTGAATGAACGCAAGGCTGCTTCTCCCCACTGGTGCCTGGGGACACCTCTCGCCCCCCTCAGCAGAGGAACCAGGGGCGAGCCCCTCCGGGCACCCACCCGCGGCTCTGCACCCACCGGGGACTTCACACCGTGCCGCCGGACCCACGGAGGTCACAAATCGCCGGGGGCTCAGCGCCCGGGAGAGAGTCAGAGCCCCTTGGAAGGGTGGAAAAGATTTTCCCCCGCTCGGTGGGAAATCAAAAATATCCCCGTGCGTGGAAACAGTGAAGATTGGGGTCTGGATTTGGGGAAAGCAGGGCAAAGTGGGGGGGAAAGGAGGGATGGAGGTGGAAAAGGAATGGAGAGTTGAAAAAGGGATGGAAGGGGAGAAGGAAAGATGGAAGGATGGAAGGGGAGAAGGAAGGATAAAGAGTAGAAAAGAAATGGAGGGTGAAAAAGGAGGGATGAAGGGTAGAAAAGGAGGGATGATGGGTGTAAAAGGAGGGATAGAGGCGGGATAAAGAAATGGATGGAGGCGAGAGAAGGAAGAATATAGAGTGGGAGAAGAAGGAATGTAGGGTGGAAAATGAGGAATGGAGGGGAAGAAGAAGGAATGGAGGGTGGAAAAAGAAGGATGGAGGGAGAAAGGAGGGATGGAGGGAGAAAGGAGGGACGGAGGGGGGAAGGGTACCGCGCCCCCGATTGGCTGCTTAAGCACAAAATCCGGAGGTGGGTTTGCGGGGTGGGGGCGCGGAGGGGCCGGGGACTGCTGGGGGGCAGAGGTGGGTGCTCGGGAGGCTGCAGGCCCCCCCGGCAGCCATTTTGTGGCAGTACCTGCCTTGGTGCCAGGGCTGGGCGGTGGGGCCGGAGCAGAGCCCTGCCCGACCCTCCCCGGCCCGGCGGGGCCGTGAGGGGCGCGGGGGGGGGAGGCCTCCACGCCACGGTGGGAAACGTATTACCGCGCCCGCCACGCTTGCCCATTGACAGAGATAAACATGCAAATGAGTCTCTTTGCATGTCATTAGCATACAGGCAGATTGTGGGGGGAGGGGCCGCAGTGTGCGCACTGCAGCGTGCTTTAATGCAACACCCAAACAGCCATTGCGGGTCTCTCCCGCCAGCAGCACCTGCGGCTCCCCGCGCCCCCCGCCGCGGGCAGTGGGACCCCATCACCCCCTGGCACCCCACGAGCCAGCACCGGGGCTGTCCCGCCGGGCACCCGGCTCGTCCAGCCTGCCCGGGGCTGCAGGGCACAAGGATAAGCAGGGATAAATAAAGCCAAACCTCGGGAAGCGGCTCTTTTTGGGGCTCTTTCTGTGTTTTCACCTTTTTCGTGTTCTTTCACCTTGTGCAGGGAAGGAAGCGGGCGGGGAGCCCTCAGCCGCCGCCTCCTGCAGCCCCGCTCCCGCCACCGCCCTTAATTGAGTGGGTTGGGTGGAGTGGGGAAAGGGAGTGACAAAGCCGACGAATTTGGGCAGGGAAGGTGCAGGGCAATGGGCACCGGGGGTGGGGGATCCCCACGGCTGCCGGAGCTGGGCAGCGGCCGGGGCGCGCCCCGCGGGAGCGCGTTCGCAAACGACGGATGCGAGCCTGGGGGCTGCGTCCGCCCGTGGACACGGCTGCGACCGCCACCTCGCCGAGTGCCGCCCCGTGCGTGCCCGCACACGCGTGTAGCACCCCCGCCGCACGCGTGTCCCCACTCGGGTGGCTGTGTCACCATCCGCGGCGTGTGTGTGCGTGTCCCGCACACGCGTGTGAGCGCCAGAGCGGAGGGTGCTCGCACACGCCCCGGGTGTGTGTGTGCTCCTTTCCGGAGCATTTCTCCCACGGGCGAGCACCGCACCCACGGCCAGGGGCGTGCGGGGAAAGGGATGAGATGAGGGATCCCCCCCGGCCGGGCTTGCCCTCCGTGCCGGCCGTCCTGCGGCGAGGGTGGCACCGCAGAGGGCCCCGCCGTCGCCTCTCCGGGTTTTCGTTGAAGGGGGAACAGCTCCCGCGTCCTTGCGAGGACGGCAGGCGAGCAGCGTGCCACGGGCCGCGGGGCGAGGAAACGCATCCGAGTGGCAATTTAACCTCAGCGGGAAAAGGAGGGCACTCCCTGGGCACCTTTGTGTCTGCCTCCCTCCCCTAAATTCTCCGCACATCTGCGGGGACAGAGCGAGGAAATGCCCCGGTACCGCGGAGCTGGGTGCGGGCCCCCGGCGCCCCTGGCAGCGGCCGCTCGCAGCCCGGGGGGACCCGCTGGGGAATGAACCCCGGCCCCGTTTGGGGGGCACGCGGCGGGGAAGGCACCCCCTTTCTTCTGCGTGCCCCCGAGACACGGCACAGCCCCAGTGCCACATCTCCCAGAGCAGCGGCTCCTCCCTCTGCGAAGAAACCGGCTTTTTGGTCCCGCAAGTGCACCCGATTTTTATTCTTGCAAAGAAACACACTTTCCATTCCTCCAAATAAACACGATATTTTAAAAAAAATCTTGCAAATAAGCCCGATTTTTATTCTTGCAAAGAAACACACTTTCCATTCCTCCAAATAAACACGATATTTTAAAAAAAAATCTTGCAAATAAGCCCGATTTTTATTCTAGCAAATAAGCCAGCTTTTCTCTGCCCCGGTGGTTTATTTCTGGCCGGGAATGACAAGGCAGGGAGAGGACGTGGGGTCGGACCGGGCAGTGTTTTGGGGAGGAGAGAACCCAAACTCCTGCAGGCGTTCAGAAATTAAATCGTCCTGGCTCATCTCCGTGTCCCACCACAGAGGAGATAAAAGCGCCGGCGAATTTGTTTTCTAACATAATTTTTAAAAGCCCGAGTATATCCTTTGCCCGTATGTCCTCGGGAGACCGAAAATTCACAGAGCAGCCCCGTAATGAATTTTTTTCTGCTAAAAATTCCTCCCAAACTCAGTTAATAGATTGTGATTACAAATAATGCCGCCTCTTTTTTTCAGCGACTAAGTATACAACTGGAAATTAGAAACACCGATGTTTTGGTATTATTATTTGTATTTTTAAATTATTATTATTTTTATTATTATTATGTGTATGGTTTGTTTTGGGTGTAGTGGGTTTTTTTAAGTTTGGGGGTTGGGTTTATTTTTTTTTTTTCAAATTAACCTGAGATATAATTTTCTTAAGCTTAAGCAGCCTTTCAGAAGAGGACTCCGGATAAAATTCGGAGGTTCTGCCTTTTAAAACGACAAAAATGTTAGGCGAAGGTTCTGGGAGAAGCCCCGTAGCACGGACAATGCCGAGCGGGGATGACTCTGTCCGGCGTGTGCCACTTACGGAAATCATCCTTTTAATTTCAGTCTCGAGTGAGAGAATTCCAAGAGTCTGGAAAAGTGATTTATGGAGACCTTGAGACCTGCGGCCGCTGGGGCGGCCCCGGCAACCCCGGCCCCGGCCCGCAGCATCCCCCGAACCCGCTCTCCATCCCCCTGTGCCCGGTTCCTCCAGGATCAGGGCGGCAGGGACAGCCCTGGGCTGCCGGGCGAGGTTGGCAGCGCTCGGCAGGATTGCTGCCAGGGCTCTGCGGGGCACAGGGCTCGGCTCGGCTCTGCGGAGCCGGTCCCGGTCACGGTCCCGGGCTCTCTCTCTCTCTCTCTCTGTCACCATCTCGT